GGCGTCGACAGGCGAAGAGTGAGGGAAGAGAAGGAAGAGGGAGAGAAGAGGAGGAAGAGGAGGGAGAGTGAGAAGGGAGAGGGAGGGAAGAGGAGGAAGAGGAGGGAGCGAGGAGGAAGAGTGAGGAGACAGGTGTCATGTGTCCTGGCATCGGTTCGCCTCAGCCCGAGACGCACTGCTACGCCGGACCGCCCCTGCAGACAAGTGACCACCTCGCAGGGGCTGGAGATGCACGTGCGGCGCCTTTTTCCAGGGCCCGCGCGGCCAGGAATTTTAACGCACGAAAGGGGCACAGAACGGGTACGGTGCCATAAAAGAAACGCTGTACAAAACCGATAGCGGCCGCTGTTGGGCAGGCGAGCTTGCGCCTCCGATGGGCAACGGCCGCGGAGACGCCGACAGTACCGCCAATCCTGTTCAAAATGAACAAGAAGGATTGTTGGACTTTGCGCCCATTGTTTCTGTAGCCATGTCGGTCCCCCCGAATGAAGGTGCCACCTCCCGCCAGGATCCAGCTCACCTGCGGGCGGTGCGGCTGAAGGGCTCGCCCCCCCCCCCACCCACCCCCCGAGCACGCCGCCCCGAGCGCGGGCCCCCGCGGCGGCGACCGTGCGGTTGTAGCGCCGGTGCTTGACGCAGGTCTCGCTGGATAGGGGCGCGACTGTTTATTTCTATGGGGGAGAGGGGCGCGCGATGAGGAGGAGTGGAACGAATTCGCTTGCGCACGTTGACATGTTGCTCCATATACGTACATCCGCACGTGTTAACAGACACCTGTACCAATGTAGACACACAATGCAGAGGCGACAAAACAGTGTATCATGTGGCGTGCATGTGGATATATATATATATATATATATACTCGACCCATTGCGCGCTTCTCGCGCGCTCAAGTTCTGGCGCATGCCAGGGGATGGTTTCCACAAGCGAGTGCGGCTGCCAGATCGAATAGAAGAAGCAGAAATAAATCACCATCACTGTCAAGATCATGATAGTCACCGTCATCGTCAGCGACGCCAAAATGAACATCGTGATCCTAATCATCACGACCATCATCATCATCATCATCATCATCATCGTCATCAGCAGCATCATCATCATCATCATCGTCATCATCATCACCACCATCTCATCATAATCGTCGCCGTCGTTGTCATCAGCACCATTATCAACAGCATCATCATCAACATTATCGTCGTCTTCACCACCATCAGCATCATCATCAGCAGCATCATCTGCATCAGCATCAACATCGTCATCATCATCACAATCAGCATCATCATCATCATCATTATCATCATCGGCATCATCATCCTCATCCTCATCCTCATCAGAATCGTTAGCATCATCATCATCAGCAACAACATCATTATCAGCATCATAGTCGTCATTGATCAGCATCACCAGCATCATCATCAGCATCAACCTCCTCAGCATCGTCATCAGCACCACCATCACCATCACCATCATTATAATCGTCATCATCATCATAATCATCATCATCATACTCATCATACTCATCATCATCATCATCATCATCATCATCATCATCATCATCATCATCATCATCATCATCATCATCATCATCATCATCATTTTCGTCATCATCACCATCATCATCGATATCGGTATCGTCATCGTCATTGCCATATTATGCCGCATCATGGTCGCAGGGAGCATCAGAATCATCATCGTCGTCAGCGCCATAATCATCATTACCACCATGATGGTCGTCAACATCACCATCATCATCGTCGTCAGAATCACCATCATAATCCTCATCGTTGTCATCGTCACGCGAGCACTGTCTCGCGTGACTTAACTTGCATTGCTATTGGAGCCCCCTGGGAGCCCCCCGGGGCCGCGCTGCAAGCCCAAAGAGGGCCCCAGAGGGCCCTCGAGAGCCGTGGTAGGTAAGTCACGCAAGCGCTCTCTCGCGTGACTTCGCTTGCACTGCTGCGGAAGCCCCCTGGGAGCACCCTGGGCCGCGCTGGAAGGCCCCAAGTAAGGCTGTGAATGGCTCCAGGAGGGACCGAAGAGGGCACCAGAGGGCCCCCGGGAGCACGAAAATGTAAGTCACGCGCGGGCTATCTCGCGTCACCGCATTGTCACTGCTATTGAAGCCCTCGGGGAGAGTCCCCACGGCGCGATGGAGGGGCCCAAGACGGTCTAGAAGGGGCCTCAGGAATACCGTCCTGGAACCCAAGAGGCCTCGTGGGGGCGTCTGAGGCGGTCCTGGGGCGATCCTGGGGCCTCCCCTGGGCCGTCTCAGAGCGTGAAGGCAGAATGGCGAAAATCGCAAAGGAAGCCCACGAAAAAAGTCATCTGATTTCGTTGTTGGGGGCCGTCGTGGGAGTGCTCTCTCTTGTGACCTCTTGAGGTTCCTTGGGTGCGCTCGAGCCGACTCTTGGGAGCATCTTGAGGCGCCCTTGGGGATCACGCGCGAGCCTCGGAAGCGTATCAGAGGCGAAAGTGCGAGAACACCAAACACATAGATGTTCCTTAAGTTGTTGAAGAATGTTGCCCTCTCCCGGGCTTCCTCGGATCTCTTTTGGACGGTCTTGGGGGCCTATTGACAGCACGTCGGCGCTCTCTCGGGTGCTCGTGGGAGCCCCTTGGGCCGTGGGGGGGCTGTCGTGGGCGGTCTCAGAGCCCTGGGCGAATACGTGTAGCCTGAATGTGTGTATGTACGCCCGTACGTATGTATGAATGGACGGACGTGTGTATGTATGCATACCTGCATACATGCATGTATGTGTATGTGTTTAGTTGTATATGTGTATGTATGTATGTATGCATGCATGCATGCATGCATGTATGTATGTATGTGTATGTATGTGTATGTATGTATGTATGCATGTGTATGTATGTATGTATGTATGTATGTATGTATGTTTGGTTGTATGTATGAGTGTATGTATGTATGTATGTATGTATATATATGTATGTATGTATGCATGTGTGTAAGCATGTGTGTGCGTATGCATATATGTGGATATGTATGTGATTTTGAATATATATATATATATATACATACATATATATATGTGTATGTATGCGTGTATGTATGTATATATGTATGTATGTGTGTGTATGTGCATGTGTGAGTGTGTGTATCGTATGTGCGTGTATATATGTGTATGGAATATGGATGTATGACTGCGTGCATGTATGTACGCATGTTTGCGCGTGAATATGTATGTATGTGTGTATGCATGCATGTGTGTATAGATAAAGGATGGATGTGCGTATGTATGGATGCGTGTGTGCGCGTGTGTACGCGTATAGGTGGTGCATGCATGTTTGCATGCATACATGCATGCATGCATGTGTATGTCTGTATGAGTGCATGTATGGTGATGTGTATGTATGTGTGTAGGTGTGTATGTATGTATGTATGTCTGCATGTATATATGGATGTATGAGTGTAGGTGTGTAGGTGGTAGGTGTCTATATGCTAATGTATGTGTACGCATGGATGGATGCATGTATGTGTGTATGTAATTGGTTCTGTATGTATATAGATATATGTATGTATGTGTGTATGCGTACAGCTGTGTAGGTGGTAGATATGTAGGCGTGTCGGTGTGTATATATATATATATGTGTATGTATGGATGTGTACGTATGCATGTGTGAAGTCTGTCGGTGTGTACGGTTGTGCGTGGGTAGGTATGTCTGTATGCGTGCATGCATGTAGGCGGGTAGACAGGAGGCGTGTATGTATGTATGCATGTATGCCTGGGTGCATGCACATGCGTGCACGAATGTATGGCGATATATGTATGTGTGTATGCAAGCATGTATGTGTGGATGTACTTATGCGTATGTATGCATGCATGTGCGTGCCTGCGTGCGTGTGTGCTTGTGTTTATGTTTGTGTTTGTGATTGTGTGGTGTTTGCGTGTGTGTGTGTGTGTCCGTGTGTGAGTGGTTGTGTTTGCGTTTGTGTGTGTGTGTGTTCGTGTGCGTGTGTGTGTGCTTGTGTGTGCGTGTGTGTGTGTGTGCGTGTGCGGTATGTCTGTGTGGTGCGTGTGGTGTGTTGTGTGTGTGTGTGTTTATGTGAGTGTGTGTGTGTGTGTGTGCGCGCGTGTGTGTGTGTGGTGTGTGCTATGCGTGTGTGTGTGTGCGCGTGTGTGTGTGTGTGTGTGTGTGTGTGTGTGGGTGGGTGGGTGGGTGATTGCGGAGGTTGCCCGACGATGGCCTGCAGGATGGCCCCAAGAGCACCCCAAGTAAGAGCTCAGAGAGGGCCCCGGGAGGGCCCCAAGAGGCCCCCCGGGGAACCCAAGCTGGAGAACGGGACTGCTCGGGCTAATCCTGGCTTCGCTCGCTCACTGACCTTTTTCGCGGCAACTCGTCTGCAAAACGTGCCTGCATGGGCTGATGAGAGTACGCAGAGCGCCAAGAACTCCATGAGCAGCGCTTGCACTGAATGAGGCCCCCACGTGGTATGTGAGACTGCCCCTGGCCCCCGCCCATGTTCTTCGCTCGCAAGCCTCCACGTGCTTCTACCTGCTCCCACCCGCTCACATGTGCTTACGTGTGCTTGCAGGCTTCCGCAATGTTCGTCATGATTCCGCGTGCATTAATTTGTTTCTAGGGGCTGCCAATTGCTTCGAGTGTTCGGGCACAAGCGCTGGCCTCACAGTTTCACTGCGCTTATGCGTTACGCATACAGAACTAGAAGCAACAAACAATCTGGACCGAAAAAAAACGCATGTAACAGGACCCATGTGTCTTCCGCTTTTGGTAGCCTTCGGGAATCCGTGGCCGCGTGAAGGTGGTGGCAATCTGAGTAAGAACCGAACAGACACACAAACACACACACACACACACGCACACACGCGTGCTCCACATTGCTATCACACTTGTGGCCAAGTACGCGTTACTGCTATTGGCAAGCTGATCGGATGGCGAACTGTATATGGACAAGTGTCCTGCCTTTACAAGCAAGGTGACAATTGACCAACGCTTCCTCCGCCAAGGTTGCAATGTTGGGTTCAGCTCCCACGTTGTTCCCTGTGTAATGCTAACAGATTCTGCTGGGCCATCTCATCGCCATTCTGAGCAGCCTTTGTCCACAGTTCTATGCATTTCGCCGAGTCTTGCGGCACGCCTTCGCCCTTCAGAAATGCCAAACCCAAATTGAATTGCGCAGCAGGGTCGCCCTCCTGAGCAGCGCCAATCCAAAAGTCCACCAAAGGATTATCATTCGAAAAATGTGCAGAGGCTTCTGCAGAGGCTTCAGCCGAGGATTTGGCTGCAGCTTGCTCGGATTCAACCCTCTCGATCATCTGAACAGCCATCTCATCGCCTCGATCTGCGGCAATCTTCATATGCGACACGCCCGTGCTGATATCACGCTTCACTCCGTTCCCTTTGAGGTACGCCAAGCCCAGCATGTATTGCGATGCCACGCCGCCCTCAGCAGCCCCCACTTCCCACGCGCTGAACGACTTCCCGAAAAGTTCGACCAGCGCTTTCGAATCGTTGACGTCGACTGCCGTCAGCCCCTTCCTGACGAACTCCGCGGCAACCTCGTGCTCGTCGATCTTCAGAGCAGCAGAAGCTCCTCTCCAGTACGCTTTGCTGTTCTGACTATCGACAGCAACTGCTTGGTGGCAGTCCTCTATGGCATCTTGTGGACGGCCCATCTGTATCAGCACATGCGCTCTGTTTGAAAACAGCTGGGTCAACAGGGTCTGCAGCGGCTTGATGTCGTCAATGTTACCCCCTGGGAAGTCTGTGATTTCTCGCTGGGCCTCAGTGATTCCCTGCGTGTACATTGCAAGTGCCCCGTCTTTGTCGCCTGCCTTCAGCTTGGCATTTCCATCCTCTTTCAATTGAGCAGCCATTGCTTAAGAACTAGTCCATCAAGGGTTACTTCGAGGCTTGGGCATCTTGAGCCAAAACGGCGACGGGGGGAACGACAGGCTCGAATATGTTCACACGGTGGAGTGAAAATACACTTGAACCATCTGTTCATGAGTTCTGTAGCAGGAACCGACACCAGATTGATCCCTGGGCTGATGAAGCTTGTTGAGAACTCTTGAAAATCTCTAACGGCCCTATTGGGGTCATCCCAGGGCAGTGTTGAGTCATGTATGAAGGTGATGCTCGAGTCGGACCTCGGATTGAAGTTGCGGGGGGCCCCTCTGGGTCTTCTTGGGGTGGTCGTGCTCTTGGGCGCCCCTTAGGCCCACTTGGGGGTCCTCTGGACCCCTCATAAAAGCCCTGTCGGGCAAGTCTGCGGCCGCACTCAGGCCTGAGGAGCCCATCTGGAGCCGGAAGGCGAGAAGGCCAGATTCCACCAAGCAGCGCCAAGTTGGTCAACGATTCTGGCCTCTCGCCGATATCCCAAAGGACCACCTCAAAGCCAGCCTGGGGCCTCTTAAGTGGAAGCCTATTAGAGCCATCCTGGAGGCAGCGTAAGCCAACATGCTGCTTCTGGCGCCATCTTGGAAACCTGCACTGCATTCTCCTGCCTTGCTCGGCCTCGCCCAGTCCAGGACGTGACCGCGGGCGCCTTGGGAGCTTTACGGAGCTTTACCCATCGGTCGGAAGAAGCGGGTAATCAGAAACATAAAGTAGGAAGGCGTTGCAAGTAGACTGGGCTTACGCCCGCCCCCTGAAGAGGGGGAAAGAAGGAAACCAGTCGATCCTTGAAGTGATAAGGCGCAAACAAAAAAGATTGGGACGTGGGAATCCAAAAATACCTGCTTTCAACGACCGGCCTGTAGTGTCGTTCTCGGGGCCCCATGGGGTCGTCTTGGAAGCCCTCTGGGGCCGGGCTGTCCTGGCGGCCTCCCGGCAGGCCTCCTTCGCCACATCTCCAACATCTTGGCGCGCTGCAAGGGGGGGGGTTGGGACCCCCCCTTTCCCCCCGATCCGTCGTCGGGGACCCCCCCCCCCCCTCTCCCCTTCCCCGATCCGTCGTCGGGGACCCCCCCCCTCCCCTCCTTTCCCCGATCCGTCGTCGGGGACCCCCCCCCCCTCCCCCCCTTTCAAAAGGGGGGAGGGGGGGGGGTCCGAACCCCCCCTCCTCCCCCCCTTTGGCCGCACCCCCCCCCCCTCCCCCCCTTTCGCCACGCCGCCCCCTGACTCCGAACCCGACCCCTGCCAGCCCAACCCCTAGTCCTCACCCTAACCCGAACCCCCTAATCCTAACCCAAGCGCGCCGCGTCTCACTCATGCCAGGCGCGTTGCACCGCCAAGATTCGCAGCGCCGACGAGGAGAAAGTACATGTTGGCAAGAAAAACGTCGACGTTGCTGTGTTTTTTGCAGGTAGGACGGGGGGTCCCGCGTAGGGTTGGCCAGGCGTCCGCGCGCGATGTGCGCCCATGTTGGAAAGAACTACGTCGACGTTGTTTTTTTGTTTGACAGGTAGGACGGGGGGGGGCGCGTAGAATTGGCCAGGCGTCCGCGCGCGATGTGCGCCACGTCCTCTTCCTGCTACATGTTTCGCAGCGTCGACGACAAGAAAGCCCACGTTGACGAGAACAGCGTGGACTTTGTATTGTTGTTTGATGGTAGGACGCGACCACCCACTTAGGGTTGCCCAAGCGATGTTCATGTTGCGTTATTCCTGCTACACTTCGCGCAACTCGACGACCTGTTGGCGAGAGAAAGTGGAGTTAGTGTTGTTTTGCTGATAGTTCGTACGCCGGGGTTGCTATCGGCCAGCTGGTGGGGATGTGGGGGGTGCCATCCCTGAGGCCACGGGATCTGAGGTGATTTGGGGTGGAGCGCTTCGGCTTGGCCTTCTCTCGGTGCGAAATCACGTGCGCCGTGGTACCCTCAGAGCCCTGTTCGGAGGAGGGCTCTGGCCGCCAGCTCGCAAGTTTGTGCATGGATACGCTAGTTCGGACATGGGTCAACTTTGTAACCAGAAGGCTGTCCACAGCTAAACCAAAATCAGCAGGCAATGACAACGCACTGCCTGACAAATGCACGCGGCCTGCACGATCGCACCGAGGCGAGCGCAAACTTGCCGAGGCTGCAGCGCAAGCTTGCCAATACGGTCGAACTATACGCGCCCTGTTTTAATTCCACGTGCACTCCTCCTCCTCCTCCTCCTCCTCCTCCTCCTCCTCCTCCTCCTCCTCCTCCTCCTCCTCCTCCTGGTCGTCCCAGCGTGACCCATTTGCGCGCCGTTCCCGTTCGTGGTGCCTGGGCCCCCACCCCAGCGCACAAGTGCAGCTTCTCACTGGTAGCCGACTGCAGTGGCCCGGCGTGCAGCCAAGGCCCTGGCTCTTCTTTAAGCCAGCGTTCATGCCCACGCACCGCTTGGTGTATGGTTTGTCAGTCAGCGGATCCTGTCTCGACACTCCTGTTGGTCTGGAGCAGCGCTGTGCTGGATATTGAGCGTCCGTGCCCCTCCGTCCAACACTCCCAGCTCCCCCTCCTCTGCCACTATCGCGTCACTGCGTAGAACAAATGGCTCCCGAAGCAGATCAGCGCGTGCGCGACATCGCCGGCGTCTACGCAGCGCCTCGGGGACAGCTCCGCGGCCCGCCAGAAGCGGATGTCCGTCTGGAGCCTCTGGCGCTGCGCGTCGATCCCGTCCGCCGCGAGCGGGCCCAAACTAAGGATCCACTCTTCCGCTTCCTTAAAAGAAAACAAAGCGGCATAAAATACTCTTTTGAGCGCTCCGCGCGGACTTCTTGGATCTGCGCTTGGCACCCCTCACTGGCGCGCGGAGCGCGCCAGGGGCATCGCCGGAGGCTCCGCTAGGGGGGCCCAGCGCGAATGCAAGAAATCCGCGCGGAGCGCCCAAGAGTTTCTTTTTATGCAGTCTGCTCTTCTTCGATTCCAGCCACTTCGCCGCGCCGCATCTTGCTGCCTGCAACCAAGCCACCCCGAGCAACCACGGCGTGGCCGGGTCGCGCTCCTCCTCCAGGGCGAGGTCTCCAAACCGCTGGGTCTCGAGGAGGGCCTCGAGCGCCTCCGCGAAGCGGCCCCGCCTCGAGAGGAGGTGCCCCAACCGCGCAGAGGCTCTGTGTGCGAGCGCCGCCTGAGGGCGACGAAATCTATACATAACAACTGCTCCCTGGCAAGGCCCATCCTGAACAGCAGCGTTGCGTACGCCACGCCCTCCTGGCTTGGCCAGGAGGGCGTATACACAGCTCCTGGGTTCAGAATGGGCCTGGCCAGGAACCAGTGACTATGTATATAGATTTCGTCGCCCGACGCCTGGCCGTGCTCCGCTGCCTCACGGCTGGCCTCCTGGAAGCGGACCTCCGCGCCCCTGGCGTGGCCGTGGTCGGCGAGCCACTCTGCGTGCTTCAGCACAAGCCGCGCCCGCGACGCGCCCATGACCGCACGACACGAACAACTGGTGCGACCCAGCTGGGTGCACGCGCAGAGCCCCTCCGCGCAGTTCGGGGACAGCAGGGCGCGCCGCGTGAGCTCCTCCGCGCAGAGCATCCGGGCCGGGACCTCCGCGCCGGCAGCGTCGGTGGCCCAGGGGCCCACCGCGGTGCTGCCCCTGGCGTCCACGACCTGGCTGGACTGCTCCTCGCCCCGCGCCCAGAGTGCCCAGCAGTGCCCGCCCCGCTCGCCACGGCGCCGCTCGGGCGGGGCCCCGGGCCCGCTGGGCCCCGCGGCGCGGGCGCCCGCGGCGCCGCCCGCGCCGCAGGCCTCCGCGTGGACCTCGGCCGGGTCCTCTGGCGCTGATGGCGCCGTCCCGGCGAGGCCCAGCTACGAGCGGATGGCGCCTGTAGGGGGCCACATGCGAACCCTACCCCTACCCCCCACGATTTCTGAGGGGAGGGGTAGTGTTCGCATGTGGCCCCTATGCGCCCGAGAGGCCGCTGGCGGCGGCTGCGACAAAAGCACAGCCTAGGAGCGGCCCACGTAGCGCTTGCCACATATGCGCCCGAGGCCGCCGAGGAAGGGCGAGTGGCCCTGGCGCTGGTTTCGTTGGGCAGTGGGGAGGAGCTAAAAATAGGTTTAGAACCCTAGTGGCTGCGAGGAGAATGGCGCACAGCAGGAGCTCGTCCAAAAGAAAAACCTTCCACAAGAAACCCAACACCCTGAGACCCCGGGACGTTCATTGATTTTTTGTGTGGGGCCTCACGGCTTTCCACTGCAAAACCATCCAAACCCAAGAGACCCGGGGCACCCTGGAGGCAAGCAGGGTGTCTCTTGGCATTGGTTTCCACTGTAAGCCTCTTGAATAAAAAAATGGTCGTCTCTATATGTTCGAGCCGCCCACCTGTTGTACGGCGAGTTCGTGTCGTGCCGACTTCGGCGTCAGGTCCTGACACAGCGGGGGTCGCTCAAGCTTGAACGATCGGCCCTTTCCGAAGCGTCATACCGTGCAACATCGGCCGATGCAAGGTCGCTGGCGGCGTTCAACGTGGAACGCCAACGGCAGGGTCGCCACTGGTCGACACGACGCGAACCTACCGTACCTTCTTCGCGTACCCCCTGCGAGCACATCAAATCCCAATTTCTCCTCCTCCTCCTCCCACTGCTCCTGCTCCTCCTTTTCCTCCTCCTCCTCCTTTTCCTCCTGCTCCTGCTCCTGCTCCTCCCCTTACCCCTCCTCCTCCTCCTCTTCCTCCTCCTCCTCCTCCTTCTCCTCCTCCTCCCCCTCCTCCTTTTCCTCCTCCTCCTCCTCCTCATCCTCCTCCTGCTCCTGCTCCTGCTCCTGCTTCTGCTCCTGCTCCTGCTCCTCCTCCTCCTCCTCCTGCTCCTCTTGCCCCTCCTCCGCCTCCTCCTCCTCCTCCTCTGCCTCCTCCTCCTGCGCCTCCTGCTCCTCCTGCTCAAGCTCCTCCTCCTCCTCCTCCTCCTCCTGTTCCTGTTCCTGCTCCTCCTGCTCCTCCTGTTCCGCCTCCTCCTCCTCCTCGACGATTCGAAATGAGTGGCGGGAATGGGACGCGGCGCACATCCCGCGCGAACGTCAATGCGGTGTCCTGGGGTATCTTCCCGTCCACTTGCACTGAAATGCCCGCGCAGCCCCCAGTTGTGCCATCACTGTTTCTCACGTTGTGGGAGGGCGGGTGGGAATGGGCATGCCATGCTTGACTCGCTCGAGTTGGCTAGCTTGACCCTAACCCGAACCCCCTAATCCTAACCCCAACCACTAACCCCAGCCCCAAAGCGCACTCACTACTCATTACTCGCTACCCACTACTGACTACTCGCTATTCGCTACTCATTTCTCACTACCCCCTACTCACTACTCACGACTCACTACGCACTACCCACTACTCACTACCCACCACCCACTACTCGCTACTCACTACTCCCTACTTACTACTCCCTCTTCCCTACTCACTATTCACTACTCACTCCTCACTACCCACTATTCAACACTCACTACTCATTAAGAACTACTCCCTACTCCCTACTCACTACTCACTAATCACTACTCATTACCCACTACCACTATCCACTACTCACTACTCCCTACTCTCTACTCATTGCCCACAAATCACTACTCACTACCCACTACTCGCTACTCGCTACTCCCTACAATTCACTGACTACACAGTACTCAGTACTCACTACTCGCTACCCCCATACTCGCTACTCAATACTCACTACTCACTCCCCGCTGCTCACTACCCACTACTCACTACTCACTACTCCCTACTCACAAGTCAGCGTATAGTCTCTAGTCACTAGTCACAACTCACTAGTCACTAGTCACTACTGACCACCCACTACGCACTACTGACTAATCGCTACTCACTACCCACTATTTGCTACCAGCTTCTTACTACTCAGTGCTCACTACTCCCTACTCCCTACCCCCTACTCGCTACTCACTACTCACTACCCATTACTCGCTACTCCCTACTCGTTACTCACTGATCACTACCCTCTACTGACTACTGACTACTCTCTACTCACTACTCACCACTCAGTACGCCCTACTCGCTCCTGACTACTCACTACTCGCTACTCCGTACTCACTACTCACGACTCACTATCCACTGCCACTACACACTACTCTGTATTCATCACTACTCACTGCTTACTACTTACTACGCACTGCGTACTACTCAATACTCACTACTCACTACTCACTACTCGCTACTCACTACTCACTACTCACTACTCACTACTCACTACTCACGACGCACTACGCACTACCCACTACCCACTACTCACTAAACACTATTCGCCACCCACTACTCACTACCCACTAGTCACTACCCACTACTCATTACTCCCTACTCCCTACTCAGTTCTCGCTACTCGCTACTCGCTACTCACTACTCACTACTCGCCACCCACTACTGACTTATCAATACACACTTCTCACTCTTCGCTACTCACTACTCCCCATTCCCTACTCCCTACTCGCCACTCACTACCCACTACTCACTATCCTATACGCACTACTCACTACGCACTAACTCACTACTCACTACTCACCACTCCCTACTCCCAACTCCGTACTCCCTACAAACCTTCTCCGGCGCAGAAAGGAGAAGCGAGAGAGGCCGCCCTTCCCCGGCTCCCTTTCCGGCGCAAAAGCGGGGAGGGGAGGGGGTCGGGACCCCCCCCCCCTTTCCAGCGCCAAGGGGGGAAGGGGGGGGGGGGTCCGGACCCCCCCCCCCTTCCCCTTCAAGGGAGCGGAGGGGGGTCGGGAACCCCTCCCGCCCCTCGAGGGGGGAAAGGGGGGGGGGGGTCGGGACCCCCCCCCCTTGAAGGGAGGGAGGGGGGGTGGGGGTTCTGGACCCCCCCCCCTTAGTGTATTCAGGGAGATCCACTGGCGCATTTTCCATATCAAGCCCGCGGGAGAGATCCGGCAGGGGCAGCCAGGAGGTCCAGAAGGCCTGGAAGACGATCAGCAGGAGCGCCCAAGAGGTTGTTTGGGGGTGGCCAGAAGTCCATTGTTTAGGGGGCCGTGCACATGTAACAGCTGGAGTTCAGAATGCGAGAGAGAGAGGGAGAGAAAAACAAACTATAGACAGAAAGAGAGACAGAGGAGAGCGAGAAATACAGACGCACGCAGTATCTGTCACAGCTTGACAACTGCACGGACAGAAGCGAAGCACACTCACAAAGCAATGCCAACAGAAAAGTGAGATCGCGCGGACCAGAATCTGCGCTATCGTGTGATATCGGCAGGGCCACTCGCAACAAGCGTTGGTCGTACGCTGCAAAAACAGGATGGCGCTAATTCCCCCAGCGTGCAATATGATTGAACATCGACGCTCATACTACAAGCATGCTCGACTCATCTCTGCTCGGCCCACTGAACAATGACAGTGTAGGCAATGCCAGATATCCAGACAGTCACGATATAGTCAGAAGAGCATGGACTACAAGCCGTTTCTGGCAGCTTGTTGTTCGCCGACACTTGTTGGGGGGGTCCTGTCCTGTGACGCCTGCAGTCCCCCTTCGATCAGTTCCATGCACTGCATCGGTACACACATGCCACCATCGTGTTGCACACCGATGCCAGACAGGCAATATTAGCTAGAACTGTGTCGTGTCTTTCCCCGTCCTGGGTCGTCACTTCGGGCACATGGCATGTTGCAGTAGACCCCTGATTCGCTCAGCACGAACACTCCATCACTGAGAGTGCTGGCGCAAAAGCTTCTGCATCATAATATTGGCTTGAGCCTATGTGCACCCAGATGTACCGTTTGAACACGAATGTTCAAGCACGGAAACCATAACGCTCCCCAACCTCACACATCCTGCTGCTCCTCTTCTGCCCCTCGCCGTCCCTACTTCGCCTCTCCCGACCCTCCCTCAGCCCCCTGCCTCACTATCCGTCTCCACTTTTGCATCCGTAAAATACGGTTTCACGCGGGGCTGAGAGGCTGTGAATGTACATCTTGTTATTTTCCATTCAGCCCAGCAGCCTCCACACTGAGCATAGGACTGCCCTAAACTAGCCAGTGGTAATCCGGACAGCCCTGTGGGCGACAGGTGGTCTAACGAGGGTCTCTTTCCTCTTCCACAACCCCTCTTCCCTTCGGGGAGGGGAACCCTCCCCGAAGGGAAGAGGGGTCGCGAGGTGTCGGAGGGTCCTTTTTCGGCCATGGGGAGGGCCATTTTTTGCCAACCATCACGAAGATCGTGGCCCCCGAGAGGGGGACGAAAATCGAGTACCCCCTCTCTTTTGACCGACCGCCTCCAAGATGGTCCCAAGAGGCCCTCCGGGGCTCCCAAGAGACTCCCAAGAGGGCCCAAAGGGCGCCCCAAGAAGCCCCAAAAGGCCTCCAAAAAGCACCCAAGAGGCCCCCAAGAGGCCCCCCGAGGGGCCTCAGAGAGCCCAAGATAACCTTCAATATGGCTCACGATCGCCCAAGCTAGCTCCATATGGCTCCCAAGATGCCCCAAGAGGTCCTAAGACAGCTCCAAGACCGCTCAAGATGGCCACGGAGCCTCCCCAGGATGCCGCCGAGGTGCCCGAATCCTTTAAAAGCGTAGCGAAAATCAATGATTATGGTCTT